TGTCTTCTAAGCATATTTACAGTTTTTGTAGGCTTTTAAAAATGAAAATGTCATGTTTTTCCTATTTATAAAAGGAATACATTGCAGTTTAAAAACCTTTTTTAAAGCTCATAAAATAGAAAGCAAAAATCACATTACTGCACTCCCCAGTCATAACCATGATTTTAAATGGATGTACAATGTTCCATTAAAGCAACAAAGCAAGAATTATTCAATCAGTCTTTCTCTTTTAGGATAATTTCCCAGCTATGAGGTTATTACATCAAAGAATATGCATATATTCATGGCTCTTAAAATAAGGCAAAATGCTTTCCAGAAGGACAATGGCTACATAAGTCATAAGCAGAAAGCTGGCATTTCAGTTCTCCGCTATGTTTCTGCTGCATTTGGTGAGCGTGCTAGTGGCCACTGCAATGACTTGAAGCTTGTATTTCTCCAGCGCTCTCTTCAGCCTTTTTCACTTTTCCATCTTTTCTTCATCAGCAACCTTAACTGAGTTGATAGTACTTGATAACTCAAATCCACTGCCACCGAATCGATCCCAGTTTATGGCAACCCTATAGGATTTCTGGTGTGGCACTGTAGGATCAGCACTGATCTGCGAACTATAAATTCAGTGGTTCAAACCCCACCAGCTGCTCCTTGGAAACCCTATACAGGGTTGCTGTGGGTCAGAACCGACTTGACGGCATTTAACAACAGAAACAACAGTAGGACGAAGTAGAACTATTCCCATAGGTTTTCCAAGCCTGTAAATCTTCACGGAAACAAACTGCCACATCTTTCTCCCATGCAGCTGGTGGGTTCGAAACGCTGACCTTTTGGGTAACAGCCGAGCACTTGAACCACTGCGCCTCCAGGGTTCCTCTATAGTTGATATTAGGGTCATAAAGATAAATGAAACCCAAAACTTATCATCTAGTTGGAGAAGAATAGAAACCATTTCCCAAATAAAGTAACAACAACCCCCCCTGAAAGTGTCTGGATGGAGAGGTACCAGTTCAGAGCCGGGTTAACCTGGGTTTGTAGTTCAGCGTTGCCTTCTCCTAGCTGGGAGAATGTTTACATCATCAGTCAGGGCCTGAGTCTCCTGGTCTGTAAAAGGGGTTGTGGAGGGATCAGCGTTGGGGTACCCGGCACCTGACTGGTACGCGGTTACAGTAACGCAGGCCACAGCACCAGTTACGTTGTCCATGCTACAGAGGTGGGATGAACAGGGCATCAAGGAGGTGCGGACCAGGACTGGCTAACTCACCTTGACCACAGGAATGATCCGTGGAGGAGGAAACTCCTGGGCTTTGTCTGGAAGCACTTTAAGTGCCTTCAAGTCCGTTCTAATTCATAATAACCCTATACAGGGTTTCTGAGGAGCGGCTGGTGAATTTGTACTACCAACCTTACAGTTCAAACCGACCTGCACATTATCCCACAGTGCCACACCAGGACTCCTTGCTCTTAGGTTTGTGTCATCCTGTGTCCCTCTCAGCCAAGACGGGAAGCAGGCAGTCTGGTGCTAGAAGTGGCTCTTACCTGTGACACCTGCCTTGTGAAGTGCTGTAAGCATTCTTTCAGGCTGGGTGCATGTTAAGAAACCCAGCCAGCAAGATTCAACTTCCAAATCTGAGGAGCCACCGGATCATTTGAAATCAGCTTTGTTTCAAGGCAGAACCGTTCCACCAGGAGACTTTGAGTTCATGATGGCTTCATTTCCTATGTTAGCTGCCACCACACCACCACCACAAAGTGCGTTACTTTAAAGAACAGAACTTTATTTTCTCACAGTTCTGGAGGCTACAAGTCTGACTTTAGGGCATGGGTGGAGCTGTGGGAAGGTCCCTTCGGCCTTCCATTTCTATAGGATCTTTACGGCTGTATAGATCCCTTCAGCTTCGGTTAGCCTTGGATGCTGCTTAGCGTCCCTTGGCGTGCAGACCGGTCCTCACATGTCCTCACAAGTCACTTGTGTGCGACTTTCTTTTTGTACCCGCTTTTCTGTTTTATCAGATGCCACTCAGAAGGGATAGGATTAGGACCCACAGTACCCTGGTATAACTTCATTAGCCTAATGGATAAGGCTAACCCAAACAAGGTTGTGTTCTCTTTGTGCAGGTTTTAAGAGTTGAACATCTTTTTAGGGGGCATAGCCAGGAGGAAACAAAAGGGAAGTAGCTGCCATTTACTGAGCACCTGATTTGGGCCCAGTGCTCGGCTGTCCTGGCTTCATGTAATCCCCACGGCAGCTGCCCAGAATCAGTGGCAGTAGTTTCGTTTTCTAGATGAGCAATGAGGGGTCCAAGGAGGTTGTGACTTAGGACAGACACTGCAGATGAGTAGCTCAGTGGAGCCCAGTCTACAGGCTGCTCCCTGGAACCAGGTTAGCATTCATCAACAGTTTGGGCAGGTGTGGTCAAGCTGGAATGGGTGTGTATCTAAACTCAGGTGGAGGGACGGGGTCAGAGTCTATGCTGGGGGTTTCTGTGACTCCACAATTCCTGACCCTGAAGGCCAAGGTCCTCCTGCCACGTTCCACCTGGAGACCTGTAGCTGAAGCATCCTGAGTCCATGCCATCTGGAGCGGGGGAGTGGGGGAGGCTGACTCTCCTGTGTGCTGTGGATGCCCTGAACTCCCTCTGCAGGCCGCCCCGAGAACTGCAGCCGGGCTAACACCACTCTCTTTCCTTCCTCCCGCCGACTTGGTGGGGTCAGTGCAGCAGCTACTGGAAGATGGCGTGGATCCCTGCGCAGCTGACGATAAGGGCCGCACAGCTCTGCACTTCGCTTCCTGCAATGGCAATGACCAGATTGGTGAGTCCTGGGGAGGGTCCGGGCCAGGCTACTCACTTCACCTCACCGCCGTGGGGAACAGGGTGCTGGATAGAAGGCATGCCCGTGATAGAGCCTCACCCACTCACTGTGGAGTATGCGCTCAAATCTTGCACTGCAGGGTAGGGGAAGGGAGCCCTGGGGAGAGGGTGATAGACTCGACTGAAGGGAAGGCTCCGGTTAGGCCTGTCCTGAGTCACTTCCATGTGTCCATGAACAGATGTCTCAGGCCAGTGACATTCTAGGTGTTGGTAATACAACCATGAACCAAACCCACAGATGAACCACATACACAACCCGTAGCACATACAACATGTTCATGCTTATGACATGCATAGTGTACACAGGAAAGTTAACACGCAAAGCAAACTGTGTAACACGCATGTGATTTGTATAAAAATACAATAGCCCCACTTCTCATGAAACCTGTGGGATAGAGAGGTGTAAGTACAGCAGATGAGCAGTGTACACACTGTCTAGATGTGTGTATGTGTGTGTAATGTTGTTCCTAGGAGCTGTCGAGTCGGTTCTAACTCATGGTGACCCTATGCACAACAGACCCACACAGTGCCTGCGCCATCCTCACATTGTATTTGAGTCCATTTCCATGGCTGGTCATGCTGTACTGGGCATGTCTCACTAGTGTGGCTTAAAAACCTATCTACTTTTTGGCTGGAAATTGGGCCATGAGAGTGTTTACCCATTTTTAAATGATTTGTCTTATCATTAAAGGAGCCCGGGTGACACAGTGGTTAAAGTGCTCAGCTGCGAACTGAAATGTTGGCAGTTCAAATCCATGAGAGAAAACGATGGCAGTCTACTTCGTGGAGATTTTTTGTTGTTGTTGTTGTTGTTAAGTGCTGTCAACTCAATTCTGTTTCATGGCGACCCTGTGTAGGGTTTCCGAGGACTGACGTGCTTGAACCGCTGACCTTGGGATTCAGTGCTTATCCTACTGTGCCACACAGGACTTGTAAAGACAACAGTCTTGGAAACTCTGTGGACCAGTTCTCCCTGACTCGCTCGCTGTGAATCAGCGTCAACTCGGGAAGTGTTTGGGGTTTTTTTTCCCTTAATTCTTTACAGGTGTCCTAGTAGCATAGTGGGTAAGCACTGGGCTGCTAGGTAAAAGGTCAGCAGTTCAACCCACCAGCCACTCCACAGAAGAAAAGTGTGTCTTTTCTGCTTTTGTAATGATTGTTGTTGTTGTTAAGTGCCGTCGAGTCAGTTCTGACCCATAGCGAACCCTGTATAGGGTTTTTAAGGAATGCAGGTGAGCTTGAACTGCTGACCTTGTGGTCCAAACCAACTTTGCAGTCCAGCGCATTAACCCACAGTGCCACACCAGGACTCCTCTGTAATGATTGTTGTTGTTAAGTGCCGTCCAGTTGATTCCAACCCATAGTGACCCTGTATAGGGTTTTCAAGGAGCAGCTGGTGAGCTTGAACCGCCGACCTTACAGTTCAAAAGACTGCAGTCTGACCCATTAGCCCACAGCGCCACACCAGGACTCCCTGTAATGATTGTTGTTGTGTGCCGTGGAGTCGGTTCCGACTCATAGCGACCCTGAACAGGGTTTCCAAGGCTGCAAATCTTTATGGGAGCAGAAAGCCTCATCTTTTTCCCGCGGAACAGCTGGTAGTTTCGAACTGCTGACCTTGAGGTTCGCAGCCCGATTCATAACCACTACGCTAGCAGAGCTCCTTCCTGTAATGATTGCAGGCATGGAAACATTCTGATGCCAGTCTGCTCCGTCCTGTAGGGGCACTGTGAGTCCCGATCGACTCTATGGCAGGGGGTTTTGATTTCTCTCTCTTTCTCTCTCTCTCACTTTATGTGTGTGTGTGTGAATTGAGTGAAGGTTTACAAAGCAAATCGTAATTTGTCTTTTTCTTAGTGATTTGTAGGAGTTCTCGATATATTCTATGTACAAAATCATTTATCAAGGCAGCGTCCCGTAAACAAATAATAAATAAGGGGGAATCTGTTGCAGACTGTGCAGACACGGTCAGGAGTTCGAGGCCCTGTGGGCCCAAATGTTGCAGACCGTCCAAACCATAGGCTCGGAGGATCAGACTATAGCCACCTAGCAGACATAGCGAACTGTCCCTCATCTGATTATTCAGTTATGCTTGTTAGTAATCGCATACATGATCCCTGGATATGCACAGATAAATGTAAAAACCTTCCCTAAAAGCCTAGACTGTAAATTCCAAGAAGGCAAAGTTTTTCCTCAAAAAAAAAAGCTAAAGTGGATAGAGAGAAACACTGTTAGCTGATGGTATATGGAGGGGATTATAAACAATGTAATGAAACAAGGCATATGAATGTTTGAATGTGAAACTGATGGTGTGCCCTGTAAACTTTCACTCAATCCACAATAAAAACCTTAAAAAAAAAAAAAATCATTTATCAGATATAAATGACTTGTATTTTCCTGAGCTTGCCTTTTTGCAAGCTCTTGCCGGGAGCCAGCCCCAGCAAACTTATTCCAGGGTTTTTCCGAAAGCGGGTGCGGCGGCGTCGGCTGAATACACGGAGTCATGGGTCATGATAAATTCATTTTCTTCTCATTACATGCTTTATTATTATTATTTCTATGGCTACTCTAATACTCTACTTCTCTTATTCTTTACTGTCATGCTCTCCTGCTCATCTCTTCTGTTTCCTTTCTCCCCT